ATGACAGTAAAGAGACTGACAATATCAAGTAGTGGTGAGAACTCGGAGCTGCTAGAAGTCTCAGAAACTGCTGGCAGGAGCAGAGTGGTTCAGCAACGCTGCAAAACAGTTTGGCACTTTCTCAAAAAGTTAAGCATACGTCTATCATACGACCCAGTAATGCCACTTCCAGATATTTGTACAAAAGAAACAAAAACTTACATTTACATAGAGACTTGTATCGAAATGTTTGGAACAGCTTTATGCACGATAGTCAAAAATGGAATGACCCGGATGCCCGGTCAGCGCGTAAATGCATAGGCAGACTGTGCTCTGTCCGTACAGGGGCAAGCAAAAAATGAACCATTACGGATTTTTGAAATAACATGGATGAGTCTCAAAAGCATTGTGCTAAGTAACAGAAGCCAGATACGAAATGTCACATAATGGATGATATACCATTCAGATGAAATTCTAGAAAAGGCAGAGCTGCAGAGGCCATGAGCAGACTGGTGGTTGCAGGTGGGGCTGGTGGAGGGGTTGACGGTGGAGAGTACTGTTGGGGATGATGGAAATGCTGTGTGTCATGATTAGGGTCATGGTCACCGTCTGTATACATGTGTCGAAACTCACAAACTCATGCGTTTTATTCTGTGTAAATTATATCTCAATAAAGCCAATTTTTAAAAAGAAGAAAGGAAAAGCGTGGGTGTGAATTCCAGCTGTCCCCTTCCAGCAGTGTAGCTTTGGGCAGGTGATTTAGTTTCTCTGTGCCTCTGTTTTCTCATCTATGAAAGGGGGCAGTGGGAGCGGCCGCCTCCCGTAGTGACTGGGAGTGCATGAGCTCACTCGGCAGGGCTCCCGGTGGCACCCGGCTCACCGTGTCAGCTGTGGCGGGACCGTCCCTGCACCTGGCGGGGAACGGGGTGGACGCACAGAAGACCTCTCACAAGCCGGTCGCCGGTTCTCATCTCTGAGAGTGCCTGCTGCTTTCCCCGCCATGTCTCGGGAGTGGCTTCCTGGTTAGATTGGCGTCACCTAGGAGATCACAGTCTTATCACAGCCTGGTGTCTGGGGTCCTCACCCAGTTTGCTTATCAGAGCTGAGCCGCTGCCCCTCCCTCCCCCGGCAGCAGCTGGGCGCCTCTCATCTTCGATTCTGCGAACGCGGCCCTGGATCTTACATTTTACCTGCCTGGACAAGCGGGACTCCCCTCTGGAGCTAAAGATTGGGCAACCCGAGTTTTGAAACATTTCTGCCAACCCCTCCCAGAGGGGCATTCCTGTCCTCCACCAGCCACTGACTTGGGCAAAGGTAATTGGAGGTGGTGAGGGTGAGGATGTTGGAGTCTCTGCGTCCACTAGCACTGAGGCCCTCCGTCTGGATGGGATGTTAAACACTGCACAGACTCCTGGTCAGTTCTGCTTCTGGCTGCCTCTCCCTCCGGTCATCACAGTCTCTCCCGAGCAGATTAGCTGAGCAGTGTAGCCACCTAAAACCTCACATCTCGAGGAGAATCGTCACCGAATGTCTGAACTCAGGGCTCCCTCTCTCAGACTCTAAACTGCCAGGGGACCAGCATGTCCTACCCAGGGGTTCCCAAGACTGGCACGCATTGGAGCTACCTGTCCCCACCTCCAGAGACAGTGACTTAATGGGTCTGGGCACTGGGAGTTTGTGACACTCCCCGGGTGATTCTTCCACACAGCCCAGCCTGAGAACCACTGGCCAGAGAAACCTGGGCATGTTCCAAGGGGTAAACCTCATCCAGAAACGTGGGATGCAAGTGACAGAAACAGGAGAGGATGACAATGGCCTCACTGAACTGGGAAGCACTGGGCTTGACCTCGAAGTCAGGCCAGCTGGCCCCAGGGCTCAAGCCACATCTCTCAGCCGGAGGCACGCGGGCCCCAGCAGCTCAGGCCCACATTGTCCCTCAACCTGAAGCTGGCTTTCTCTGCTGGCTGAGCTCATGGCTCCCTCCACCCCCCAGGGAGCCATTCATGAGGCCAAAGGGCCTGCAGGGCTCTGACCAGACAGGCCTGGCTCGCTAGAGGGGAGCCTGGGGCCCTCTGGGAACCACACAGGTAGGAGGGAGAGAGAGGAACTCCCCAAGGGAAAATCGAGGTGCTGGCTTTCTGTGGGAGGAAAGGGCGGGGCATGACCTGGGCAGAGCCACCTGTGTCCACTTGAGAGGCTCCGTCCCCCACCCGCCGTGGAGTAGGTGTTAGGAGAACAACCACTGTTGAGTGTGAGCAGCACAGTCCGGTGGTGACAGCACAGGCTCTGGGGTCAGGTGCTGCCACTGCACACCTGAACACCTCGTCTCCTGCGTCTCAGGGCCTCCCTCTGCCTGCCAGGGGGCAGAGCTGTGCAGCCTCTGGGGGTGGGGGCCCTGTCTGTGCAGTCAGCACACCAAGCGCTCAGAGCCAGGTGGAGCGACTTGTCCATGAGCAGCTGCCGCACAGTGTCCACCAGCCAGCGACATGCTAGACCCAGGAAAGGATCCCGAGCGCGCAGTCACGCCTCCAGACACAGACACAGTCTGTCTGGACAGAGCCTCTGCTCTTCCTCCTCCTGTCCCCTGCGTCCCCTTCCTCCCTTCCCTACCTACGACCCTACCACAAGAATGTTTCCATTCAGAGGTGACCATCAGCCTTCTTGCTGGTGTTGCTGCAGGTGATCGGTTCAGCCAGACTTGCCTCGGGCCGCTCCCTCCCCAACACTCCCGACAGAGCTGCGGGGAAGGAGAGGGGCCTGGGGAGGGTTGTCAGCAGCCAACCCCGGAAGAAGCCTAAGTCATGTGGTTTCTGGAAATCGAAACTAGTCTCAGTTTTCAGAAGCATTTCCTAGGATCGGCCTGACCACGCGCATTGGGAGGGTTTTCCGGGTTGAAGGACCTGTCCACAGAGGGCGCCTGAGGCAGGAAGGTGAGAGGCTCCAGCACAGCCATCAGGAGCCGACAGGCAGGTAAGTGCCTGCCTCTTGCTCCCAGGTGGGCGCCCCTCTCTACACAATGTAATCAAGTGGGGAGTCATCCCTCCTCATTTGCACCGGGGCCTGGAGCTGGGGACCCAGTGCTTCTGAGCCCAGGGACCATCATGGCAGCTCCCAGACCCACAGGGCCTCTGTGTACAGCTGGGCAGGCTGTTCACTGCACAAGGACACCAGCCAAAGGGGCGAGCGCATTGGAAGTCAGCCTGCGGCCCTCTCTCTGGTCTGTGTATCCTGGTCCAGGCCTGCACCACTCAAAGCCAGAGAGCCTTTTTTTGGTTTGCGCAAAGTCACCCTATGGGCCAGCACAGACAGCCTTGTCCCCCCTTCCCGTATGAGGAAGTCAGTTCGCAACAGATGGCCACTGCTACCCAAAGGGCAGCGACATTTGCACAGTGTACCAGGTGCTTGGTTGGCCAGTTGTTCCCAGGGTGAACTTGGTGGCCACAGTGGAGAGAGTAACCAACCTGTTTGCCTGGGACCAAGGGGTTTCCCAGGGCACAGGACTTCCAGTGCTAAAACTGGCACAGTCCCCGACACCCTGGACAGTTGGTCTCCCTGGCCCCTACAGCCGTCTACTGAGATCAGTGTCGTGAAGGGAGGGGGTCGGTGCTGAGCAGACCCCCAGCCTGCAGCTTTCCAGCTCTGTGACTTGGAGCCAGTTAACTAACCTCTCTGGACTTCAGCCTGTTCACTTGTAAAGTGGGGGGTCACAGTGAGGTGTCAATGAGCTGGCAAGTGCAAGAACAGTCCTAGCAAGGGGTGCCAATGCGGTGCCCTTGAACGCAAGCCCCTGGAGCAAAGTTTCTCACCAGATGGCCAAGACCCTTGGGGGTCTTGTTAATGCAGATTCCCATGCAAAGGATGGGGTGGGGCTGCAGCTCTGCATTTGCTGCATGCTCCGGGGGAGCCATTGCTGCATCCACTGGGGCCCCACTCTGAGCAGCAAGGAACCAGGCCCAGATCACCAGGCCCTGGCTTGTAACCGGTGCTGCAACAGCACTGCCCAGCAGCCATGCCCTGCTTGCTAGATTGCAAGTAGTGACACCCGTGTCCCAGATCCTTACTGAGCCAGAGACACACTAACAGGCTCTCCTGGTGCAGGATGTGGGGGAGGGAAGCAGGGGAAGGGGTGGTGAGGGGCACAGCACTGCAGACAAGATAGAAAGCAAGCACCAGGAACTACAGAGGTGAGCTGCGCTGTATGGAGCTGATAACAGCAGGTTCAAGAGTTGGGATCCCCATACCGGACAGCCATCAAAAGAAAAAGAAACAAAACAGAATTATATGGAGGCAAGAACTCCAGGCTGAAAGTCGCAGGTCTGGGTCTTCCCCCTGCCCATGCTGACTTGTGTGGCCTTGGTGGTCCCCCGCCCTCCCACGCCTGGGCATCTTGGGGACACCCACGTTCACGCTGTGCCCCCTCAGCGTTTCCTCCCCATCCTGCTCCCTCCAAGCACCACACACTGGGAGCCCAGGACCCAGTCACTACGCCACCTCCCCCCAGATGCTGAGACCTGGGTCTCAGCCCTGACCCTTTCCTCCGTCTTCCCCCATCCGAACCCCACCGAGCCTGACGTCTCTCGCTGCTGTCCGCCTGTCACCCCTGGCCTGGACTTCTGTGGCCCCATCCTGGAGGGTCCTCCTCTCTGCCAGAAACCAGGGACACTACCCGTGGGGGTCTGTTGCCTGAAGATAAAGCCCCATCCTAACCAGGCCGTCCAGGCCCCTCTGCCCTCCCCTTCCATCCCCAGGTGACAGCCTTACTCAGGGCCCGGTTCTCTGACATGGGCTTGCTCCTCTCTGGGCTCCTGTTCCCGCTGTCCTTGCTTCCAGGAGACACCCCCAGCCTGCCCCTTCATCTGGCCAAGTCTTACTTATCCTTTGAGGACCATCCTGCAGACCAGGTGAGGGCCCCTGCTGGGGTCATCCACTCTCACCCGCAATGGCAGTGGGCTCTGCACAGGGGACCCCGCCTGTCGCACAGCGGGCCTTGCATAAGTAGGGCTGAAGGATGGTGACGGACAGGCCCGGGCCTGAGGACTGCCCCGCTCCAGCGTCTCAGCTCTGCTGCTTTCCTCTGCTGCAGCGTCAGCACGTCCGCCCGGGCAAGGCCATGGCCCCCCTGTGGCTCCTCTGGGTGTGGCTGCTGGTCTCAGGGGCCCAAGGTGAGTGGAGCCACAGTCTGCAAAGCCGTCGTGCCCTGGCTCTGTGGGGTTAACACTCCCCCACCTTGCAGAAAATCCAGCAGCTGTCCCCCCTGGAAGCCCTGTTGGCCCAAGTGATGGGGGCTTGTAGGTTCTGGGAGGCCTTCGGGCTCCCTGGTGAGATGCAGGTTGTGGGGAGGATACCCAGGAGTTCTCCTTCTGTCCACCGGGAACCAGAGGAGCCAAGCAGGGGAGGCCAGTCACGCCAGCCAGCCCGTCGCTGGGGGTGTGGAGAGGTTAGTGGCCTCTGGACACAGGTCCCACGTCCACAAGTTCCTGGCTTTTCTTCCGGCCTTTTGTTGTGACCCCTGGAGGCCCTGTTGGCCCTGCTGACCTTACAGAGGCCTGACGCCCCAACTGAGTTTTGCCCTTGAGTGTGGATGACCCCTGACTTCGGGCTCCAGCTTCTGCCCAACCCTGTCCACACCTGCAGGGGCTGTGGCGCTAGGGGCCGAGTCCTCCAAGAACGTGTGTGGAGCAGCAGCCCATTTTCCCTCCATGCCTGATGTGCTCTGCCTGCATCTCCAGGGGTCCCGGGCCAGCACCCCTGGGCCACAGGCAGCCTCGGGTGGGGCCAGTATGGGCCCTCCTCCCCTCCCCCACTCTTCCCTCGGCATCCTGCCACCGTCACTCAGGTGCTGGACAAATACACACCCCTTCTGCCCAGAATGACGAGGACAGGCGAGTTCAGCCTCTGTGCATGTGGGGAGGTCTATATGCATCTTCCACCCCTCCCAGTGGGTAACCCCGCACAGATGGAGAGGGGAACCTTGAAGTGGTGAAAAACAAATCCCGGTCTCTGTTCAGCAGGTCACCTTGGCTACAGCACACGGCCCGGGAAGCGCGGGTGGTGGGCGCTGCGGCGTCCAACCCCCTCCTCGCTAACCTCTCTCTCCCTCGGGAGCATGCAGGTGTGAACGATGGTGACATGGAGCACGCAGGCGTGAACGATGGTGACATGCGGCTGGCCGACGGGGACGCTGCCAACCAGGGCCGTGTGGAAATCTTCTACAGAGGCCAGTGGGGCACTGTGTGTGACAACCTGTGGGACCTGACCGATGCCAGCGTTGTCTGCCGGGCCCTGGGCTTCCACAATGCCACTGAGGCTCTGGGCGGAGCCACCTTTGGGCAAGGTAAGGCTGCCCTCCTGTCCTCCAAAGCCGGGATGCCAGCTCTCGGAGGGGCGGATCCCCTATGACAGATAATCAGCCTTCAAAGACATGCAAATTGTGTTCCTACTAATTTAATAAGAGCACACGTGCTCAGTGACGCTGAGCCCTGTGCTGGAATGTTCTGATGCAGCTGGCGCACTCATGCCCACCAGTGGCAGTGCCAAGACCCTGGGGCACGTGATTCACAGCTTCACTGGGTTCATTCCCTCCAGCCCAGAAACTCCACTCCTGGAGATTTATCTTCTTGAAACAATTTCCCCTCCAAAGAAAAATCTGTAGGCAGAAAGATTTCGACTGACGCAGGAGTTGTGATTCTGAAGAAAGGGGAAATAATTCAAATATTCAACAACAGAGACAGTCACATGAATTATGGTCTGCTGATTGGATGTCTCAGAGCAGCCATTAAACTTGATAAGTTTATGGGATAACGTTACAATTATGAATCCGAACCCACACCTGACCACTCACCATGGTTAAACCTGGTGAAAGCCTCTGTGAGATGGACTCACACTGGAGGGGACCATGAAACAGGAGCCTAAGAGAAGGGTAGGACTGCCCGGCGGCTTTTTCTGCCCTGACATGTCCATCTCTGCGCAATCAATGTGACTGCCCTTTCCAGCATTTCTAAGAGGAGCCACCCTGTCCCTGGGGCCTTCCTGGCCTGGCAGACAGCCCAGCTCCTCCTCCAGCCCTGGCCTCTGTCCTCTGCTCTCCGACAGGCACGGGCCCCATCATGTTGGATGAGGTCCAGTGCACGGGGACAGAGCCCTCGCTGGCGGACTGCAGATCGCTGGGCTGGCTCAAGAGCAACTGCCGGCACGAGAGGGACGCCGGCGTGATCTGCACCAACGGTGAGTGGGGCCACACCTCCTCCCGAGCCCCACGGTGCTCTGGGATCCCAGGGAACCCACGTCCCTGCCCCTCCCTGCACATGCACTCTCCACGTGAAGCACACACCTGGGCAAACGAAGGCGCTGCCACGCCCAGTCCTCCCTGCAGTGGAGGGACAGGAAAGTCCAAAGAGCCCACTACCCTTAGCCACGCATCCCGGACTCCTCACCCACCCTTCACACCCTTCCCTGGAGCCGCTTCAGAAGTGCTTCATTTGGCCTGTCGGGCAACGAGCCACATTCCAAATAAACGTGATGTCTACATATTGGAGGCTTATCTCTTTAAATGCCAAAGCTGTATGTTTGTTAGTTCTTGGTCTGAATCACATTACCCAGAACCCCGCAGGCTTAGACAGCATGTGGATGTGCTGTAAACATTTCCTGATGGCAGAAAGGCCTGATTACCAACCCCCGCCCCATTACTCCACCCTTTGTGCTAAATGAGCGCAGGCTGCTCTGCATGTTGGAGTCTCTGAGTCTGAGTTTTATAGCAGTTCTTTCCTCTCTCACCCCAGTTGCAGCTTCTCCCTAGGCTTGCACATGGGGGCCTAGGGGTGTCCCCTGTCCACCTCCCTCTGCCCTGAGCAGGGGGCCCCTGAGACCGGGGGCAGGTGTCCGATCATAGAGGCCAGCATGTTCAGACAAGGACGGACAGACTGCTGGAGTGGAGGACGCACCCTGGGTAGGGGGTATAGGAGACGCCACTGGGTCAGGGGCGTGGGTGCAGGATGAGAAGGTTCCTCTGGCAGGGGGTCCGCCAGTGAGAGGAGAGAAGGCTGGAGACGAGGAGACAGGAGGGTCCTGAGAGTCGGTGTGTGAGGAGGAATAGGAGCCAGACACGCCTGGTTTAAATATCGGGATTGATTCAAACCTATTTGTGGCAAAGATTCAAACCTCCGGGATTTAGTTCCAGATGAGGCAGGGAGAGCAGCAGCACCTTGTGCCACCCAGGGACCCCCATAACTTCCTCTGGCTCCGCACCCTCAAGGAGGCTACTCAGAGATCCTCGAAGTTCTAAACTGGGGTTGCCACAGGACAGGACCCTAGCTTTTCAGGCCATCTAACCAGGGAGGTGGTTTTGGTTTTAGAAGGCTAACACCTGTGGTGATTGATTGATTGATTGGGTTTTGAAAAGGACAGGCATAGGGCTCTGGGGTCAGCACCACCAGATCCCCCAGCTGCAGGAGCGGCCTGAATCTGGGGTAGCGAGAGAGCTAGCCAGGGGGAGCGCGGCAGAGTGGGGGCCTGGACGAGGTTAGCCAGGGTCCCACCGTTCTTGTTGGATGGGTGGGGAGCGGGGGACTGGGGCCACAGAGGGCAATAGCACCCGGTTCTCCAGGGGTCAGAGTACGTTCGGTCTGTCCTATCCCTCATCTTCAGGTGTCTTTCTGAGTAGGTGAGGCAGGCCCCAGCACCACAATTTAAGATGAAGACTCTGACTCCAGAGGGCAAAAGTGGCTTTCAGGGTCCCAGAGCAAGCAAGTGACATTTCCCTCCTGCCTCTGCTTAGAAACCAGAGACGCCCATACCCTTGACCTCTCCGGGGAGCTCTCAGCTGCGCTCGGGCAGATCTTCGACAGCCAGCAGGGCTGTGACCTGTCCATCAGCGTGCAGGTGCAGGGAGAGGAGGAACGGCACCTCTGTGCTCACACGCTGATCCTGTCCGCCAACCCTGAGGCCCAGGCCCTGTGGCAGGAGCCGGGCAGCAACGTCACCATGCACGTGGACACCGAGTGCGCGCCTGTGGCCAGGGACTTCATCAGGTGAGCTGGCCTCGCCCTCGGCCTCCAGGCAGCACCAGGGCTTCGTCCCCTCCCTCTCCAAAAGCCCACCCGTCCGGATGAGGGGAGGGGGCACATGCACACACACGCACACACTCACACGTGTGCATGCGCACAGCCACACGGCCACACACACATGCACACCTGTCCTTGTGCACACACGTGCTCTCACACACGCCCTCACACACTCACAGATATATTAATTTTCACAAAACTCAATACACAAAACCTCCCTGAATAACCATGCACCGTTCTAAGAAGTTTCCAAGCGCTCTGTGGACCGTGAGTTTGACGTGAGCAGCAACAGCCGAGCGTGCTTGTGAGCAGCTGGGCGGGGGCGCCGGGTGGGCTCCGAGGACACAGCTCCCACCGGGGCCCTCGCAGCTGGAAGGGAGCTCCGCACCGGGGCTGAGAGCACAGGCCCCCGGCTGCGTCTGTGGCCCACGGGGAGGCACCAACACTGAGATGTGAGACCTGTAGGCGAGCCTGAGAACACAGACAAACCGAAGCGTGTGCACACGCACACACGTGCACACACACACACACACACACACCTGTCTACCTCTTAGGTACCAGGACACGACGTAAGATTCTTCCAAGTACCTAAAACATAACTATCAAAATCATCCCCCTCTTCTCACCTACTGGCCTTGCTTAGGTGATAGGAATTGTGCACCCAGGGCAGAGTGGGAGAGCGCTTCCCACCAGGCTCTCGTGGTGACCCGAGGGGTCAGCAGGACCCACAAGCCCATTTTGCAGATGAGGGAAGTGAGACCGAGGGACAGAGGTGGGGCCCTTCCTGCCAGACTGCCCTGCAGGTGGGGGGTCCACTATTCCACCACCCAGGAGGCCTTCTAGGGGCTTGTGTTTTGAAAGCAGCATTTACAAAAAGAGCGGCACTTATTAAAAACCGTTCTCTCTCTTATTCTTATGCTTCAAAGCTTTATATAACCCAAATGGCACCTTAGCAACAGTAAATGGCTTAAAAACAGATTAAAATGATTTCTTTCCGGTAGGTGTCCTGTGCCCCTCCTAGTGGGTTCGACTTCTGTGTGTTGGCAGATGGCCGGCCCTGCCTCCCCGGGAGCCCGGCCCTGGGTCGGTGGTGTTCCCCCGCCATGTCCTCCCTCAGTCTCTGTCTCTCTCTCTCTCTGTGTCTCTCTGTCTCTCTCTCTCTGTGTCTCTCTGTCTCTCTCTCTCTGTGTCTCTCTGTCTCTCTCTGTCTCTGTCTCTCTCTCTGGCTCCCTCTCCACACCTTCCCCTGGGGCAGGAAGAAAGGCTGCCGCCGGCTGTACCTCTGGCCTCTTTGCCCCCAGCAGGCCTTGAGGCCTCAGAAGGCCTCTCCTCACCCAGGCCACCTGAGACTCTCTTCCCTTCCCTCTGTCCCTGTGGGCACCACTGATGTGCAGGGGTGTCCTGGCAATTAGCCAACTCCTCCACCAATTTCTATGGGTTTCTGGGGGTCACAAGCACCCCCCTGGCTTGGGGCCTTTTTCCCACCTCTCAGGGTGTTTTCTTCCCTGAAACAGGGGAAGGGCCGAGGGACTGATTCTGATCCCCCACTGCCACCTCCGCTGGAGGTGTGGAACCCCTGCCTGCCTGAGGCCAGGCTGGGTGGGGCAGGCGTGCAGGGGTGTGGGGCAGGCATGCCGGGGTGTGGGGCAGGCGTGCAGGAGTGTGGGGTAGGCGCACAGTGGGGCAGGCGTGCAGGGGTGTGGGGCAGGCATGCCAGGGTGTGAGGCAGGCGTGCAGGGGTGTGGGGCAGGCATGCCAGGGTGTGAGGCAGGCGTGCAGGGGTGTGGGGCAGGCATGCCAGGGTGTGAGGCAGGCGTGCAGGGGTGTGGGGCAGGCATGCCAGGGTGTGAGGCGGCAGGCATGCAGGGGTGTGGGGATGTGGCCTCTGTGCTTCTTTGGTGTGTGCAGCTCCAACCAGCCCAGGAACTTCTCTGGCACAGAATGACAATTAACCGTTGGTGACAAAAACATTCTGCAGCACCCTTTCTCCTTCATCACCTGCCATCTGCGGGGCCTTAGCAGCAGCGGAGGTTGGTGGCAGAAGCCCGCTGTCCCAGCACTTCCCCAGTGCATGGCCCCCACTGCTTCGGGGCACCATTAGGCAATACGTGTGTCAGGTGGGGCCACAGGCCATAGGCAGAGATGCCCTTTGTGACCCGAGTTGACTGAGACGTCAACAACAGGAATCCCAAGATATGTTTGAAAGAACACACACATGTGGGGAGGAAGGACAGGCGAGGGCATGCCTCTGCCACCCGTCACTGGGCCCCCTGGGCCCCCACTCATGGGCTTGCAGGTGGCTGGGAAAGCAGACACTAAGCATCCGGGGATGACGCCAGTGTCGTGGGTCGTGGAGCAGGTGCTGGGGGTGGAGGGGTGCCCACAAGGGACTACAGGGGTCCAGCCAGGCCACGACTGAGGGAGGAGAGGGTCAGAGGAAGGCTGCCGCCTGATGCCCAGGATGGCGGGCAGGTCTTGGTGCCAGGGCCCTGCAGAGGCCCCGCTCAGACCCACTGAGGACGACAGGCATGATGACAGAGGGTGTGAGGACCAGGAGGTGGGGCGGACTCTTCGCTCACAGATAGGGAGGAAGCGGCAGTGGGTGTCATCCTCGGCAACCCCCCTACGGTGCGGCACCCTGGGTGCGGCACCCTGGGGTCCTCCCAGCTGATAGTGCATGTTGCTCTCGGCAAAGGGGAGATTCAGGATTGCGTGTGTGGGTGTACCCGGCAGATAAATCAGGGAGAGACTGAATGCCTCTCGAAACGGTAGCAGCCCTGGGGGGCGGGTGGGTCGGTGGCAAGTGTGAGGGGTGATGTGTTGGATGGTGTGTTGGGGGGCAGGGCCCAGACACATCTGTTGTCCAGTGAGGCAGCAATCAGCTCTTCACCAATCACCCCAGGTACCTCTACTCGCGAAGGACTGACATCTCCCTGTCATCGGTCAAGTGCTTCCACAAGCTGGCCTCTGCCTATGGGGCCAAGAAGCTGCAGAGATACTGCGAGAGCCTCTTTGCCATTCTCCTCCCCCAGGACCCCTCTTTCCAGGAGCCCCTGGACCTCTATGCCTATGCACTGGCCACCGGGGACCCCCTGCTGGAAGAGCTCTGCGTGCAGTTCCTGGCCTGGAATTTCGAGGCTTTGACACAGGCCGAGGCCTGGCCCAGCGTCCCCACAGCCCTGCTCCACCGGCTGCTGCTCAAGAGCGAGCTGGCCGTGCCCAGCGAGCTGGCCCTGCTGAAGGCCGTGGACGCCTGGAACCGGGAGAATCGCGTCTCCCGCGAGGAGGTGGAAGGCTTGATCGAGAAGGTGCGCTTCCCCATGATGCTGCCCGAGGACCTCTTCGAGCTGCAGTTCAACCTGTCCCTGTACCAGAGTCATGAGGCCTTGTTCCAGGAGAAGATTCTGCAGGCCCTGGAATTCCACACCGTGCCCTTCCGGCTGCTGGCCCAGTACAGAGGCCTGAACCTCACCGAGGACACCTACAAGCCCCGGATTTACACGTCACCCACCTGGAGCGCCTCGGTGGAGGCCAACTCCTGGCCCGCACGGAAGCCGCAGCTGCTGTATCAGCCCCGACGGGAGGCTCTGTTCCGTTCTCCTACAGTTGCTTACAACCAAGCCTTCTCCGGCTACGAGTATTACCCCTACCAGTCCTTCCAGACCCCACAACACCCCAGCTTCCTGTTCCAGAACAAGCTGGTCTCCTGGTCTCTCATCTACCTCCCCACCGTCCAGAGCTGCTGGAACTACGGGCTCTCGTGCTCCCCTGACGAGCTCCCCGTCCTGGGCCTCACCAAGTCTGGCTACTCAGATCCCACCATCGGCTACGAAAGCAAAGCCCTGATGCTCTGTGAAGGGCGCTTCGTGGCGGACGTCACTGATTTTGAGGGCCCAAAGGCTGCGATCCCCAGTTCCCAGGGCACCAACGGCTCAAGGAGCGCTTCCTCCTTCCCTTGCCCTGCTGGGTCCTTCAGCAGCTTCCGAGCTGTCATCCGCCCCTTCTACCTGACCAACTCCACCGGCGTGGACCCCACCGCGTGGCCCAGAGGCTGGGGGCGGCAAGAGTTATAGGAGCATGGAGAAGCCAGCACATCCCAGAATGCCCGCACTGAGGGTTCACCTAATGCACCTCCTGCCTTTCTGCAGCCACCTTCAGCAACCAGCCACCAGATGTCTCCCCCGCTTCCATGGATCTCTCTGAGCTTAGAGAAATTACTGGAAGATTTCAACTAGTGCTCACTGGTTGAAATTCCCAGTTCTCCCACCGCCCGTCTGATTTCCAGGCCGGGAAGCAACAAGACAAGGGAGGTTACTGTGGGACTTCCCATGCCCCCCTCAGTGGCTCAGTCCACCACTGTCACTGGCCTGAGGTCATTAAAGTCACACTGTGGTTCCCGTGTCTGCTCATTCTTGCAGCAAGTGTTGTTGGGTCCACATGGTGTTTGGACGGGTGTGCGGGGCTCTGGGGGACTGTGAATGAGACAGAGTCCCCATTCTTGTGAAGCCAAAGGCTAGCAGGGGAGACACGGTAGCAAGCAAAGGTTCCAGCCTGGAGTAATTACCAAAGTAATTGTGTGGGAGGGAACCGAAGGGAGCCGAGCTGGTGAGCGCAGGCTGGACCCACTTTAGACCCACCGGATCACTGTGAAGAAACGACCTCCAGGACAGGATGCGGTGCATTCCCGGGAGAAGGTAGGCGCACGGCAGGAATGTTTCCTCTGTAAATCCTTGTGTGTGTGCACACAGGGATGACGGACAGAGGTTCTCACCTCAGCATGGTTTGTAATGAAAGTTGGAAACAACCTAAATAGCCATCAGCAGGGTGCTTGACCACAAATAAAAGACACCAGGCTGGGGTGAAGTCAGGCTGAAGAGGGACATGCTGGGGAGATGCTGGGCCACCCCCAGTGTCCAGGGGAAGGATGGGAGGACCAGGCTTGGATGTCACAGGGACATCTGGGAGCATGCCACAGCTGGGTTCTGGGCAGCAGCAGGGACTCTAAGCTGTCCCTGCTTCTTTGTGACACACACTCCAGCCACAGGGTCCCCAGTGGACGCATGCAATTGGCCAAGCTCAGGCCACATGCCTACCCCTCTCGGCCAGGGTCTGTAGAACAAGCATCTGGACTGTTTCGGCCTCCGGAAGCGGCGGGGCTGGAAGGCTCACCCAGGGGAAGCGAGGTTCAGACGCTGGGCGGCTAAGACACAGCAAACGCCCGCCCAAACCCTCCTCCCCACTTGTGTTTCAAAAACAAACGCAGAGGGCCGGCCTGTGGCTCACTCGGGAGGGTGCGGTGCTGATAACACCAAGGCCATGGGTTCGGATCCCATATAGGGATGGCCGGTTGGCTCGCTGGGTGAGCGTGGTGCTGACAACACCAAGTCGAGGGTTAAGATCCCCTTACTGGTCATCTTTAAAAAAAAACAAAACAAAACAAACAAACGCAGAAACAAAACCTCCCGCCCCACTGGAAGCCACCTCACCCTTCCTAAAGGGAGACCCCCGCACCCCCGGGTTCCAGATCCTGCATCCCGCTCCAGGTCTGTCCCTGTTCCTCCACTTCTACTTCCATTCTCTTGACATTTAAAAAATCTGTGGACTAAATCGATCCACTGAGCACCCCCAACCCCACTGTTGGGTACCACACCCCAGTGGGGCACAGAAGGAGAGAGAAAGGACGTGTTGGTGCAAATGTGCAGACAGCAAAGAAGCAGAATCAAAAGCTCCCCCTGTACGGTTAGTCCCAGGGCCACGCCATCCCCCCCAACCTGCTCCGTGTCCCCTTGGCCCACGGTCAGCACCTCAGCAGCAACGGTGCAGGCCAGGTAAGTACCAGGATCTTCCTTCTGGAGAGCACTGAGCTCTGCGGGCCTGCAGGGAGGCTTATTCCTGCACTGAGCTCTGCGGGCCTGCGGAGAGGCTTATCCCTGCACTGAGCCGTTGGATGTGCTGGTTTCAGGAGAGGCCCCGAGGAGTCCTTGGGCTCTTTAGCTCAATAGCAGCCCTGTTCCCCGACAGCCAGGGCCTGCCACCCATCCAGCGCCACACCCCACCTTCCTCACCCACCCACGCAGGGCACGAGCAGCCCCAGAGGCTCAATGCCCGTCTTCACTGCCAGTTCGAAGGAATGTGGATGTGTCTCTTAGAAACATTCCTCTCTTGGGCACGAAACCTCGAAACCGGCAGAGCCCAGAGTTTCAGGGACTAGCAGCAAAGCTTCGCACGGGGTGACGAGCGTGCTACTCAGAGGCACCGCCCGCTCACGCATGTGTGCTCTGACTAGCTTGGCAGATGCCATGGCTGGAGGGCAGCTTCTTTTTTTTTTTTTTTTTTTGCAGTTAATGATAAAAGAATGTATTAAGGAATCTGGAGGTGGGTGGCTCCAGGACTGGCTGACCTGCTGCCTGCCATGTCCTCAGACCTGGGTTCTTGCTGTGGTGCAACCTGAGACCAGGCTTGCGTCCCTCCCTCCTCAGTCACTGGTTCTGGGGAACTCCCCTTGAGGCCCCAGATGCCCTTGGTGGAGGGCAGGTGGCTGTGACACAGATGCAAATCACGTGTTTCTCCAGGGACCACTGGGTCCCCTCCTGAAGGCTCCACGTCCATGTGCGCTGGTGTGGTTCAGATCACCCCCGGCTCATGTACCACTTTCAGGTATTTGGACCAAAGCTGGTGTGGACTGGAAGGAGAGAGGCTCCCTGCTGAAGGTGTCACTCGGCTCCAGACCCTGGACATGTCCTGGGTGGTCCTCCCATCGGCCCTGCCACAGGCCCCTGGAGCCCCCAGCATGCATCTCCAGCTCCCCACCCTGGCCTGGAAAATCATAAAGGCCATGTGCATGGCAGCCCGCACCAGTGGACACAACACCTCACGCTCTGACACGAGCCTGTGGGTCTCCAGTAAAGGGGCTGGAGCCGCACCCCAAGTCTGGTATGTGTCACCGCAGAAGTCCACAGAGACCTAATCAAGGTTGTGTCCTTGTCCAAGTGGCCAGATGCACAAGGGCCAGCCACTTGGTCTGGTCCACTGTGATGACCATAGCATGATGCAATGGCAGGAGGCAGGCAGGACACGTGTGTGCACATGGAGGGGGAGAGAAGTGCTCTCAGCAACACTGTGTCTCATGTGTGGGGCTGCAGTCACCTGCTCCAATCAGGCCACATCTGCAACAGCTGCAGTGCCAACTGGGGTCCTCACCTGGTGGAGGTTAAGATAATCTACTAACTAAGCACTCAAGAGGCCCCCAAACCCCTTCCCTGGAGCTCAGCTGCCTGGTTAATGGCCAGGAGCCTTTTTGGCGAAGGCCAGGAAGAAGGTTGTCAGCACTGTACACACCTGTCACTTCGTCACACAGCCCTTTCTCTAAGGTGCTTGACCGCCTTTCACTCAAAAGGTGATCCAGGAATTGGGTGAGGGGCTGAGACTCTATCATTATGGCTCAGCACACCTCTGCTCACCAGATCTTGAGGGTTTTCAATGATAGAAACCGAGTAACAGAGTTGCAGGCTATAGAGCTCTTTTCCCTGCCCATAATCCTGCACTGACTGGGCAAATTGTCGAGCTAGGGCTGGGTCTGGAGCTCACAGACCCCTCAAGCCCATTCACAGACTGGGTCACAAACCCTTCACACACCAGGCTGGGTCCCCAGACCCCTCACACGCAGGTCTATGAGCAGATCTATGAGCTAGGTAACCAGCAAACAGGTCCTTGGAAGCCATAGGTTTGAAAGCATGGCTGCCTAGAGCGGTGGACGCCCAAGGCAGATGCCAGCCAAGGTGGTGGCATCGCACATGCACACCAACTCCACCCCTCACACACACACAATTTGTTTACTGAACCACCCCCAACCAGCCTGAGGTGAGGTGAGCCTGATTAAATTATTCTATTTTCCCAGCAAAGGTTGTCTATCTGTTTCGGTCCTATGCACCGCAGGTTCAGCTACCCACATGTCCCCACTGCAATTGGGAAGACTTTTCAATTGCAGTGTCTCTGGGGGCTTCTCTGACCTACAGAGACAAGTTATAAGAGGACTTTCTAAGAGGCCAGTGTCTCCTTCCCCAGCACACTTCCCCAGGCCTTGGGGAAAGAGAGCGTCCTGGGTCTGTCCCTAGGGACTAGGGAATGATTGCACATGGTACACACTTCAGGGTTCCTGGCTTCTGCATTCCTTAGATTCCTTTCTCGGCATCATGCCCAGGAATTCATGGGCCACCAGCGAGTCTAGTTTTCAACCGATTGAGGAGATAATTAGCACCACTCCCAGCTGCTCAAGCTAGTGCACAAAGCCAGAATCTCTGATGGATACACCTGTACTAGATATTTTTAGCTTCAGCTTCATATAATGAAAACCCAAAATAGCAGTGGCTCATATGAGACTTCTTTGTTTTCTCTCGCATGAAAGAGAGAAGGCAGTCCTTCTGGAGGTGGACTCCTTTCTGCAACACTGTCCTAGCACATGAATGCCATCCTTGAGATTCCAGTCGTTGCTCTGTCTTTAGACAGCAGGAAGGAGGTAGCAGAAAAGGACAAAGGCCTGTCCCCACCTATTACACCCCGAGACTCAGTGGTTCGGTTAAATTTGGCACTGGTTCGGTTACCCTTGCCGGCCAGCTGCCAAGAAAAAAGAAAATCTGGCACCTAAGTTATCTCACTTGCTTCCTCCGGGTCCTGCCCTGTGCTGGACCAGACTGTGCCTTCGGTTTTCAGAGTCCTCAGCTCTGCAGCTGCACGAGATAAGAGATCCCTTAGCAAGGCCATAGAGAGTCCCTATGTTTCAATCTACAACTTAGGCTGCGAATTTAGGGATTTGACCTCGTCATTTCATCTCTCCAGTCCCATTAGGGGCAACCACCCCGAAACATCACTGCCAGGACGCCCTTGGTTCTTTATGCTGTTCTGCATGCAGCAACTCTGTCCCCCACGTTGCGCCTCCAGCAGGCACATCACTCCAGGGACCACAGGCAGTCACTGAATCCGCCAGCCCAGCACTGTGCACAGTGCGGATTCCCTGGACGCCAGTGGGGGGGTTTAAGAGATAATTTTGTTGGTATATAACATGTGAGGATACTTCAGAAAGCTCACGGAGGCTGGCCAGTTAGCTCGGTTGGTTAGAGTGTGGTGGTCCTAACACCAAGATCCAAGGTCTGATCCCTGTCCCAGCCAGCAAAAGAAAAGTTTGTGAAAAAACAGAATTGGAAGATAATATACATCTTATTATGAATTTTTTGAAGTACCCTCATGTGTATATATACACACACACATATAAGTGCAGAGCTCAATTAATTTTTTTTTTGGTGGCTGGCCAGTAAGGGGATCTGAACCTGTGACCTTGGTGTTATAAGCTTGTGCTCTGTTATGTCCCTGGAACTGAGAACCTGACTTTTAGAAAAACTCC